CCACTGCATGGGACGAGGGAAACCCTGACGCCACCTCTCCAGCTTCCTTTCTGAAAGTGCCAACTCAAGGCAGATGGTTCTCCTCACCACTTCTGCCTCCTCTTCCAGCGCCTGCCTTTTAAAGAAGACTACGGAGCCCTTTGAGAAGATGGAGGAGGGGCTGGAGAGCATGGGAGATGCAGCCTGTAAATGGAGAAGGGGATGGAGAGCACGGGAGGTGCAGCTTGTAGATGGAGGAGATGATTGAGACCACACAGCCTGTAAATAGAGGAGGGGATGGAGACCACGCAGCCTGTTGGACACATGGTGGGACCAGGGGCTTCTTGGCCAAGGTGCCAGCCTGCACTGGGGACCACTGTCACCTCGTCCCCAGGGCTTTGGGTCATCGAGGGGCTGATCCCACAACCCTCCCAGCTCCCTCGGAAGGACCAAGCTCCCCTTGGAGCCAGAGGGGGGATCCCCAGTCGCTTTACCACGCAGCCTGTTGGACACATGGTGGGACCAGGGGCTTCTTGGCCAAGGTGCCAGCCTGCACTGGGGACCACTGTCACCTCGTCCCCAGGGCTTTGGGTCATCGAGGGGCTGATCCCACAACCCTCCCAGCTCCCTCGGAAGGACCAAGCTCCCCTTGGAGCCAGAGGGGGGATCCCCAGTCGCTTTGGGGCGTGTGGCCCGGGACCCCCCTTCCCGCGGGGCGGTCTCTCACGCTCACGGAAAACACCCGGAACGGGAAAAACACCTGGAACGGGAAAAACACCCGGAACGGGGACATTGCGGGGACATTGCGGGACACCGCTCGCCGGGCGGCAGCGCCCCCTGCTGGTCACTCCAGACACGGCCCCGAGGGCCGGTGGCCACCGGTGGCCACGGAGACAGGACCGGGGGGGGGGGCTGCTGGGAGCGCAGGGCGAGGCCACCTCCTTCCCGGTGTGAAAAACAGAATAAAAATAAGGAAAAAAAAAAAACCAAACACATTTTTTGGGGGGGGCTATTTTGCATTCTCTTTTAGGACAGGGCTGCCTTTAAGGCGCTAGGCAGCACTAGCTCCTTTGCCAGGGTGGAAAATGTAAAAATTGTCAGAGTAATCAATGGCCAGTCGCTATCGATACCTTAATTGGTATCGCCTTAACACCAGGCTGGGTGCCCAGACTCAGTGCTGGTTCCTGGCACCCACCCACCCGCAAAACCAGGCACCCCGTCCTGTCCCACACCCGATGGCGGCACCGACCCCGGGCTTGTTTTTCCTCTTATTTCTCCCTGGGGAGGCAGGAACCTGCATCAGTCTCTGCCCTCCAGGTGCTGGCAGCCCAGAAAGCCCCCCGCATCCTGGGCTGCACCAAAAGCAGCATGGCCAGCAGGGCCAGGGGGGGATTCTACCCCTCTGCTCCAGTGAGAGCCCACCTGGAGTCCTGGTGTCCAGCTCTGGAGTCCTCAGCACAGGAAGGACATGGACCTGTTGGAATGGGTCCAGAGGAGGCCATGAAGATGCTCCAAGGGCTGGAGCCCCTCTGCTGTGAGGACAGGCTGAGAGAGTTGAGGCTCTTCAGCCTGGAGAAGAGAAGGCTCCGGGGAGACCATAGAGCCCCTTCCAGTCCCTAAAGGGGCTCCAGGAGAGATGGGGAGGGACTCTGGATCAGGGAGGGGAGCCATGGGATAAGACG